TAGCACTGTAGCTAGAATGTTTTAACTTTAACAAGAACACTACAGATATAGCACTGTAGCTAGAATGTTTTAACTTTAACAAGAACACTACAGAGATACAGCACTCTAACCAGAATGTTTTAACTTTAACAAGAACACTATAGAGATACAGCACTGTAGCTAGAATGTTTTAACTTTAACAAGAACACTACAGAGATACAGCACTCTATCAAGATTGTTTTAAGTTTAACAATAACACTACAGAGATACAGCACTGTAGCTAGAATGTTTGTTTTAACAAGAACACTACAGAGCTATAGCACTCTAGCAAGATTGTTTTAAGTTTAACAATAACACTACAGAGCTACAGCATTGTAGCTAGAATGTTTTAACTTTAACAAGAACACTACAGAGATACAGAACTCTAGCTAGAATGTTTTAAGTTTAACAATAACACTACAGAGCTACAGCACTGTAGCTAGAATGTTTTAAGTTTAACAATAACACTACAGAGATACAGCACTGTAGCTAGAGTGTTTGTTTTAACAATACATAAAAAAGTTCATGACTGTAGCTGGAATGCTAAAGATTTTTTAATAACACAATGGGAGTTATGTACTGTGGCTATAATGTTTTAAGCAATAACACAGTGGAAATTCAGTAGTAACCAAAATGTTTCCATTTTAACAGTTACACAATAGAGATTCAGTACTCTAGCTAGACTGTTTGTTTCAACAATACCATAATACAATGGAGGTCCAAAAGCTGGTGCTATAATGTATCTGCTTTAAGAGACACAATGATACAACATTTTAAGAACAAGTTATGGAATGCATTAGTTTTGAATCAAAATATAGATATTTTAGCAAAATAAACTTAAATATTTTGTATATCGTTCCCATAAAATAGTTAAAAAAATTGTACAATTATGTTTTAGAAAAAAAATCACTTAATATAGTAAATGAAAGGAGTATTAACACAACAGTAAAAATTAGTCAATAATTTCAATAACGTGAGAGTATCAGAATCATTATAACGTTATGTAAAACAAAGTCACTTCTGATAACAGAAACAATGAAGTAAGGCTTAAGGCACAAGTATAGAAGAATGTACATTAATATCTAAAAACAATGTTCTAGAATTGTCATGGCACAAAAGTTAATTGTGAACAAGTTTTTGGGCTCAGTTAATTTGGATTTAAACATTTTTGTTTGATTTGCTCAAAGTAAACTTCAACAATTTTCAAAACACTGAGTATCACTTAAATCCTAATACTTTTAAGTGACACCATATGTCACACATCTATTTTCATAAATTCATACTGTAAATATATTTACAATACAGGTCCTTCTGTTCTCGACAATGCAACAATTAGATTCTTTTTAGATAATAAAAATACTTTTTTGTGGATAAAATGTGACCACAGTTAGAAAGGTATATATATATATATATATATATATATATATA